TCTGCTTCTCATCACTACCAGCCCAATTAGTCCTAATTCCGCATCCCACAGCCTGAAGGATGACACTGCTGTGAGTAAAGGATGAAAAATCCTCAGCATTTGAATGGCTCCTCCCTTTCCGCAGCCAGAGCAGACAGTACTAATCGCTAGCAAATCCCCAGGTGATACTGATGCTGCTGGTCCAAGGACTACTTTGAAAACCACTGGCTTTGGGGCCAGCAGATGGCATGGTGGTTAAGGCACTAGACTCCCATGTAGTCAACTGCATTTCAAGTCCCAGACCCAGTGGTTTAGAAACTCACGCTGGGCATGTGTGCGTGCATGCCCAAAATCCTGAGAAGAGAATGGAGGAGCAGGGATTGCAGCATGGCTGTCCCCTTGGAGGGTGATTTTTTTCTGTCTCTTTGTCTCTGTCTCTCCAGTGAGTGCATGCACCCTATAGCAAAAATCTCTCTTTCTAAAAAAAAGGCAAAAAAAAAAAAAAAAAAGCAAGAAGAAAACCACTGGCTTAGGGCATAATGTTATGTTATTCTTCCTGCCCCTGCTTCCCTGGGCCATGGTTGTAAGGGCTGGAGGGGACTGCCAGGGAAATCCCAGCCATGCCAATAACCTTGGTCTTCCTGGGGTGATTCAGGATCAAGCTGGCTCAGCTTGCAGGTCTTCCTGCAGTGTTGGGAGAAGTCTCTGGGCTAGAAGGTCCCTGGTTCAAGTCCTGCCTCCACCAGGGGTGTGAGCCTTTAAATTAATTTACCCATCTCTGTAAGTGTGCCTAACTCGTGAGGCAATTGTTTAAACAAAGTAAACTCTACATATGTAACAGCTGTTTTCTGGTCTGTTACCCTTTACGGCTTTCTAAGAGTGGATCCTACCAACCCGGGAGCCATCTATGATGGTGATGTTCACGAGTTTGAGGTATGAAAGCTGGGAGGTCAGGAGGTCATGGAGTTGAAGTCTCCTGAATGCACCTCAAAGAGAACTTGGAGACGTGTGTGGGACATCCTGGGAGGAGGAACCAGGAGCTAGTGAGTCAGGATCACCTGGGGAGAAGAGAAAGGAAAAAAGCAAAACACCACCACCCTGCCCTACCCCAGGCTGCTGGGTCCAATGGCATGTCATGACAGAGGAGCGTCTGGACAGTCACCACGGAGGATTCTGGAAGAGTTTGCTAAGGGATGTGTGAGGTACACTCCCTTCATCCTCCTAACATAAGCATCAGCAAAATTCTATGTTGCACAATTGTACGTCGTGCGTGTGGAGCCCTTAGGAAACTCAGAGACGATGAACTCTGTTCCTGAGGATGAGTGACCCCAGAGACAACTCCCATAGGAGGTGGAGCTGGAGGGAAGGGCACAGGTGGACTGGGTTCCTCATAGCCATGACACATGATTTTTGCCTGACTCCAGCAATCTGAGCACCCTGATGCCAGCCCCTGCCCCCTTCGTCTGGGGCTTTGTTCACAGGTATAAGAGGATTTCGTTCCTGTTTAAAGCTCCCAGCCACTTTGTAATGAGTAGGAGAATAGATAGATGTTTTCTTTTTATAGAGAGATGTTTGCTATAGGACATGTGTGCTTGCCAGAGAGACACAGAGAGACAGAAAGTGAGAACTCACCCCCCAGGAGGGATGGCCATGCTGTAATCCCTTCTCCATTGTCCTCTCAGGATCTTGGGCATGCATGCCTACCCGCCTGGCGTGAGTTTCAAGTTGCTGGGTCCAGTACTCTAACGGTGGCTGACCACATAGGAGGCCAGCGACACAACCACTATGCCATCTAATGGTCTGTTCATAGATGTTTTTCTGCCTAACAAGGACTGGAGGGGTTCTCCTAGCAAGAGGAATGCGGATGGAATAGAATCGATGGATCCTCATTGGAAAAAGATCGGTAACTTCGTAGCCTCAAGGCAAGTTATATGAACAGATTTCCAAACGCCCAGGCTGAGACGGGAAAAGCTGAACAAAGGCCATTATGGCTGTGCCCAGAGGACCAGCCAGTGGGGGCCCCTTGCCTGGCAGGGGAGAGTGGCTGAGGGAGGAGGCGTGGTGGTAGGTGAAGCCCATGCTCCTGTATCTGGGGCATTGGTCACTCAGGGACCACTCTGCTTCCAGTAGCTGAGCAGGGACTCTGGGAACCTGTGCAGTTAACACGAGGAGCCTGACTCTCGCAGTCTGGGTGTGCACCTTGGCCTTGGTGGTGGTGGGAGAGAGGGTGCTGCTAGGATGGTGATGCAGATGGGGAACCCCATCACAGCTCAGCCTGGACAACCCAGATGACGCAAGTCCTAAGGACAGCGTCTGGAGAGGAAAGACGCCACAGGGGTTGGGTGAACGGACAGCATGGCTCCCTTCATGATGGTGGGGCGGGCTCTGGGGCAGGAACAAGGCCTGGTCCTTCCTAAATCCGGCTCCTCCTTGCAGCGGGCAGCTCTGTCACTGTCTGCAGTCACCAAGCTGTCCCCTCCGTGCTACCACACCCAGGGCGGTTGCAGAGGGAGCCTCTGAGGGTGATAAGAGCCATGCAGCCAAGAGACTAGCGTCGGCTTGTGATTTCCGATTCAGTTAGGCCAGAGCTGATAAGGACAGGGGCTGCCCACGGTGCCCACACGCCCGGCGGCGGCTGAGTCTGAACTGGTGGAGGTAGAGCTGGTCTTTTCTCCTGTCCTGGACCTTCTTCAGTTCATTCACTCATTCACTCATTCATTTATTCATCCATTGGCCTCGTTTAATGAGCCAAACCTTCTCTTATCCTTTGACGGATGGACTAATGGGTAAGACCCAGCCCCTGCTTTACTAGAACTAAAGGGGGAGGGAAGGAGGGGAGAGACAGACATGTGACCAGAACTCCAGCACAGGAGAATGCAAGATGCAAGACAGAATGTGATTCCAGTCACATGAAGGGGACAAGAGAAAAGTAGATATGCGAGGGAGGCAGAACTATAGAGCAGAGGATTTATGTTCCAGATCTTTCCTTGCAAATGGCCTCCTCTGCAAAAATGAAAGGTCAGAACAGAACCCACTCAGGCCCCTGCAGAAAAAGGACAGTGACTTCATAACCCCAAAGCTCTTTTGGTTGCAAGTGACAAACACTTGACACAGGTTTAATTCAAAACATAAATTAAAACAAACAAAACCTGGGGACTTGATTGGCTTGTAGAGTTGAACAATCTAAGACTAGATCTAGGTTTCAGAGTTTCAGGCATAGCTGAATCCAGGTGCTCAAACAATGCCGTCAGCCATCTGTCTCTCTCTGGAACCATACACCCAGTAAGCCCAATACTCTGAGTGTCTCAAAGGCCTAGAAATATATTGACGACTCCTTCAAATAAAGTGATCTAAAATTGTGAAACAATAAAATAAAAAAGAAAGAATATGACAAACTAGCAAAAGTGAAATCTCAGAGTCACCCGTTTCTCCAGCACTTCTCTGTCCCTTCCCAGCACAGCTCGCCCCTTAATTGCTAAGGTTGGCAGATGCTTTTTCGTTTTCTTCATCTGTGTCCTCTCTGCAACTCTTACTTTTTTGGCGGGAGTGGGGGTGGTTTGCTATAGGGCATGTGTGCTCACCAGAAAGAGAGAGCGATAGAGAGACTGAAAGCAAGAAATCACCCCCCAGAGGGGATGGCTATGCCACAATCCCTTCTCCTCCATTCTCTTGGGATCTTGGGCACACACGCACTCATGCCTGGTGTGAGTTTAAGCCACCGGGTCCGGGACTTGAACTGCAGTCAACTACATGGGAATCCAGCGACATAGCCACTATGCCAACTGCTGGCCCCCTCTCTACAACTCTTGACACCATTGACCACCATCTCCTCCTTAACACTCTCATTTGCCCGGTTTCCACGGCATTCTACTTTTCTCTTGCCTCTTTGACTTGCCTCTTTCTTCTCTGTGGAATGAAGGCTGACGTGGGGCCAGCCAAAACAAGAGTTGGGAAGAGAATCTCATAGCCTGGATCTTAATGAAGGAACTCCAGTCCTCCTGGGAGGAGGTGAAGTGAGGGGATAAAGTATGAGGTTGGCGATTAAAGAGGAGCCAGGTCACGAAGGACCTTGTCAATCACACTAAAAAGTCTGGCTGTACTCTTGAAAGTAATAGGGAGCCAGTGAAGGTTGTAGCAGGGATGCGACATGATCCGATTTGTGTTTCACCAGCACAAAGAGACTTTTGGTCGCTCGGCCTTGGTAGCACAGTTGGGAACATACTGAACTATGGTTCTGGAAGCCACATGACCGACCACGGGTTCAGATCCCCGGCCCTGCTGATCTGAAATGCACTGAATGCATGTCAACGTGCCTAGGAGCCTGACTAGGTGGAGGGCTGTGGGAAAGGGATGGCAGGGTAACAAGACCCGGTTGAGGGTGCTGCTTTTGTGTCCCCGTGTGCACACCCTCGTGCATACACATGTGTCCTCTGTTGCAGATAGGGAGAAAATGAAAGAGCCCTTTGGTTGTGCGGTGGAGGCAGGGCTAGAAAGAAACCTCGGGCTGCTGCAGTGTTTCAGGAGAGAGATGACGGTGGCCGGACAAGCGGCGATGGCCCTAGGCTTGGATAAAAGTGGATGATCCGTGAGGTCGTGACAGCACTCGGTGCAGTTTAGAGCGACAGGTGAGGGGGAGGGAGGTGTTAGGATGACACTCAGGTTCTGCTCTGAGGTGAGAATCAGAAGTGGCTGGGGGTGGGGGGGCAGTGATGAGGCTGGAGGTGCTCGAGGGGTCTCCACTGATGGTCTGGGGGCAGGAGCTGGTTGGTTAGTCTGGAGCATGGGAGAGGCCAGGACTCCCGTCCCCTGCCCGGTCAGCACCAGAGGGGTCCCTATGGAGGTGCCCCCTCCTGCCCAACAGTCGGTTGCACCAGATCAAAATAAAGAACCTTCGGTGACCGTGGGTGACCACAGGCGCTTCTTTAGAAATTGGCCTCATCATAGCAGGATGTGTTCTGGGAGGAGCTTTGAGGGCCTGGAGGAAGGGGAAGGAAGAGGAGGGGACAGAGCCGGGCCGGCGAGACACTGAGCTTTCCTCTGCAGACCTGGAGGCTGCAGTGGGGACTGCGGATGCTGCAGGGGCTCCTTCAACATGCCTGGTTCTCTGGGGCTGGCAGCCTGAGCGGGACCTGCAGACCGCCTTGGCCTTGGCAAGCAGAGCAGCTGCGGCCCCGGTGAGTGTTGGCTGGGGCCACAGTCTCCAGGAAGGGAGTTGGGAGAGGCAGATCCAAGCAGAGCAGATGGAGGGTTTGGGGAAGAAAGGGGAGACCCCGAGGGGGCTAAGACACTCCTGGCTCTTTGAACCCCAAGTCTCCAGCAGCTGGGCTCAGCCTTTTTGGAAAGGGTTACCCCAGATGTGATAATGACTAGGATCATTCTGCCCAGTTAGGATTGCCCAAGCCGTTCCCACGAGATGAAAGGATGCAGGGTGAAAGCCCGCCCCCTTCTCCTTGGAGCCTAATGGAACCACCCGGGCATGCCCGGCGCTGTGAGCACGCCTCATCCCTGCCATCCTCGCCAGCAGTTAGAGATGGGCTGGAAAAGCCTTGTAATGCCATTCTATAGAGCAGGAGACTGAGGCTTAGGGACACGAAGCCAAAGACTGAGAGTGCGTAAGTGAGGATCGGGGCTCAAAGCGAACCGTCTGAATCCCTGCCCATGCCTTCCTGGGACCACATCTGTCCATCTCTCTCCTGGGGGCGTTGGTGACGGTCCTGTGTCAGGCCGATTCTTGGTGCACTCAGGGATCGAGCATCTTCTACACGTGTGGCCGGGGTCCGAGTCTCACCAAGGCCTGGTCTCCGGTCCTCGGGGAGATGACTGCCTGCTCTGGGGGTGGAGAAATGGCCAGGAATGACTGACAGAGAGAGTACAAGGCATCGGGGTTCTCCAGGAGGCGAGGTGGGGCTCGAGCGCTGGGAGAGAGAGCGCTCCAGGGCAGGGGCAGGAGCAGGAGGGCTTTGTGGAAGGCAGAACCTGAGCCCAGGCTCAGGCTCAGGGTAGGGATCCCTTCTGGGCCGAGAAGCCAGAGGCATCCCTGCTGAGGGGAATGAGATGTGCAAAGGCTGCGGCAGGAACGTGGGTGCGAAGTCGGGAGTCGGGCAGGACCGCTGGAAGTTCTCTTTGGCTGCTCTAGTGTCGTTCTGGAGGACTCGGGGCTGAGGACCTGTTCTGTGCATTCACTTAACACTAATAGCGACTCGTCTAGTTCTCACGACTATGAGGCAGGTGCTATTATTAGGTCATCTTAAAGACAAGGTTTGTTTGCTTTTGAGAGGTTTTCGCTATAGGGCGCATGCGCTCGCCAGGTTTTAAGCGACCCGCACAGGGTGCCCTGAAGACAGAGAGGACTGGAACCCAGGCAGTCTGGCGTCAGATGCTCCTGCCCGCCGTGTGCACACCGCCCCTCAGGAGGGCCCAGCGCTCGCATCCTCATGCTCTGGCCCCCTCTGGCTACGCTCAGGATCCCTGCCCTGGAACAATGCTGCCCCTCCCCATCCCCTCTGCTCCTTCACATCCAGGTGTTTCCTTCCAGCCTGGTCAGACACTGCGGAAACGCCAGCCCCGCTCCACAGGGTCAGCCCTACCACAGCCTGCACCTCCCACCTCCCTGCCCCTCGCCCTGGCTCTCCCCTTTCTCCCCTCTGCAGTCTGAGAGCCTCCACAGCCAAGCCTCATGGCCTCACTGGGCTGAGGGCTGAGGGATTGTTCTCACTCCCACTCCCTCCCCAATCACATACCCTGGCAGGTCTGATCTGCCCTGGAATCCCCACGTGGTGGGTGACCGGCAGTGGGGAGGCAGAGCATGGTCCTGGGAAGCCCCCTGGCTTTTCTGTCCGGGTTTTATACCTGAAGGTGTGACCACAGGTCTGGTGGTGGGTTCTTCTGTATATCGACAGCTCGTCCTAGGGGAGTGTGGGGAGTGTGGGGTCCTGGGGGCTCTCAGATTGGGGTCTTCACTGCTGGAATGTTGATCCTGACCAGGCTTCCTCAGATCCAATCTAGACCCTCTTTCCTCAGTCCTTGCGGCAGCCCCACAGCCCGAGGGGCCCACGGACTCTCACACCAGCTGCAGGCCGGGCAGCTGCAGATGGGCTGGCTCCGGGTGGCTTCTTCCTGCAGCATCCTTGGAACCATTGCTGTGGTCCTAGGGCTGGTGCTTGGGCCGTCCTAGCCCAAGGCCATGGCCCTCTGTGTGAGTGTACTGGGCCTGCGATTGCTCACTGCTGGGGCTCCGATTCCTTCCTGCCTGCCTTCCTTCTTTGTCTCGGATCTCATCTCTCTGGCTAGGACTGTGAAGGGTCTGATATGTTTACCCTCCTTATAATGGATAGGAGGGGACCTTCAAAAAGTTCATGGAAAAGATCTAGTATGACAAACTGCACGAGAATTTCAAAACTATTTTGCACCAAAATCAACTCTTATTCTAAGTTCTCCTTGTTACACAGACTTTGGGAACTCCTCTTGTAGGTGAATCTGCCGGGGTCTCTGGATTCTGGCAGATGACCGAAACTCTAAACTCAGAGACAGAAGACTTCATTACTCATGGCACGACGAGTAACACCAGTGTCACGTCCACTGCTTTTCTTTCCTCCCAAGCCCCCTGGGGCCGGTATGGAGGCCAGTCTAAAGTGGACTCGACGTCACAGCCGAGGAACCCCAAGCTTAGGAAACCCTTTCATAAAAGGCAGCAGGCAAACCTGCCTGACCACAACCCTGGAAGGAGACATGTTATACCAGATGGTGAAGAGACCTGCCCTCTGCCCTGGAAAGAGACACCATCTCCATCTTCCACAGTGTTTGCTACACAGACATTTTTTATTTATTTATTTATTTTTACTTTTTTTTTTTTTGAGAGGTTTTGCTACAGGGCACTTATGCTTGTCAGAAAGACAGAGAGAGACAGAGAGACAGAAAGTGAGAAATCACCCCCCAGGGGGGATGGCCACGCCGCAATCCCTTCTCCTCCATTCTCCTCTCGGGATCTTGGGCATGCATGCACACGCATCCAGCGTGAGTTTAAACCACTGGGTCCAGGACTCGAACCATGGTCGACTACGTGGGAGTCCAGCGACATAGCCATTACACTAACTGCTGGTCCCGCTACACTGACATTTTGAAAAGGTGATGGCACTCACAGGGCATGCACAGACACAAACCTACTGAGCACTGACTCCCAACACCCGCCGGTTGACCCTCCATTACCGCACCCCAGCCACGCTGCCCCTTGGAAAGGCTGGGCCCCTTCCTTCCTCAGCACCTTGCCTCGGTTATTCTCTTTGTTTGGCAAGTTTTCCTGCAGAGAGGTCATGGTTTGGTTTCTTGCCTTCCAGGTCCTACTCAAATGTCACCTCAGGAGATGTACCTTGTCGCCTTTTCAAAACCACATACAGACTCAGAGGCTCAGGAGCAATAAGATGCTCTGCCTATTCTGGACCCACGTGGGAAGGTCCCAGGTTCGGATCCTGAGGTCTCTTGTACATGCTGGGCACGTGCAGACATGTCCATGATTTTGGTTGGCTGAGGCTGGGGGTGGATTGAGGCATGAAGACCCTGCGGGGCATGCCTGCCTCTCTCTCTCTCTCTCTCTCATTTGTCTTTCTCTCTTTCTCTCTCATGGAAGAAATAAATAAGCGTTAAGAACACAGCATACCTGGGGAGCAGAAGCGATAGGGAGATACTGGTCAAAGGGTACAAAATCTCACTTAGGAGGAATGTCTGTTCGTGCAGCATGAGGACCTTAGCTAATCACAGGGCGGTGTATATGTCGAGATTGCTGAGAAAGTACATTTCGAGTGTTTGCGCATGAAAAATGTTAGTTTGATTTACTCGTTCCACACCTTGGACATCCATCCTAACTTCGCTTCATAAATATATACAACTATGTCATCAATTCGCAATACACTTTTTTTAAATAAAAAATATTTTAAAATGGATTTCTGGGACCTGTAGATGGCATAACAATCACATCACTGGACCCCCACGTAGTCAAATGTGGTTTGAGTCCCAAACCTGGAGGCTTAAAACTCATGCCAGGCACGTGTGCATGCGTACTCAAAATCCTGAGAGGAGAATGGAGGAGAAGGAGCTGCGATGTGGCCATCCCTCTGGAGGGTGCTATCTTGCTTTCTGTGTCTCTGTCTCTCTAGCAAGCACATGTGCTTGATAGTAAAAATCTCTCTCTCTCTAAAAAAAGGAATTTTGGAGCCAGCAAGTAGCAGGTAAAGGCACTGGACTCTCACATGGCTGACTACGGTCTGAGTCCCAGACCTGGTGGTTTGCTTTCTCACTTCCTCTCTCTCTCTCTCTCTGTCTCTTTGGTCAAATTAAAAATAATAATAAATACAATTAAGTAAATAATTCTTAAAAAAAGATAAAAGAAAAAAAACCCCACACATCCTTCTCCAGTTCTGGAACCTCTCATTCCCCCTCCCGGCTGCACTTTCGTAGGGCTTACCATCTAATATATAATTTAGTTATTTAGTTTATCATCTGCTCCCTCGGTCCCCAGGACATGCCACCGGAATGCAACCTTTTGAAGAGCAGTCATTTCTGTCTCCTTTAACTTATTGCCACATTCCCACCACTTGGGACAGTGTCTGTGTTACCCTCCAGTGAAGGCAGCGGACCAGTGTTTGAAGCAAACGAAGTCTATCGGAGTTGAGGGTTAAGGACCAGGCTGACTGTGATGGCTTAGAATATGCACACCACAAAGGCTGGTTATATAACAAAGGGAAGGGCAAGAAGAGGCCAGGTTGCAAGCTGTTTGTCAAGAACTTAAAATAACTCAGGGAACTTACAGCCTGTCGATGATTCCTTTGTCATAATTTCCGGTTGTTGTGGTGGGAGAGGGTCACGCTGTGAGTCTAAGACCACTTGCTTTATCAGGTCATTTGCTGTAAATGAAACTGTACATCTGCCTTTAAGCAATTACCCTCAGACATGGGTGTGGGTGTCGTGTAACCAAGGCCTCAGGCTCGTGTCTCTCTCAGGATATTTTTTCTTTTTGTAGAGGTTTTTGCTATCAGACATGTGTACTCACTGGAGAGACAGAGAGAAACAGAGACAGAAAGCGAGAAATCATCCCCCAGAGGGGATGGTCATGCCCAATCCCTTCTCCTCCATTCTCTTCTTGGGATGTTGGGCATGCATTCACAAATGCCCGGCTTGAGTT